TGTATGAAACTATAGACTTGGTATTTTAACATCACAAACGTCAAATTTCAACCAATGCTGCATTCAACATTCTTTGTTACACACAAAAATCGATGTTTATCTGTGTTTTTGAATATTTACTTTTAAATTAAGAAATTGAAAATGTATAATAATAATAAAATTTGAATTATAATCTACAGTTTGATACTAAACTTATGGAAAAAAATTAATGAAATAGCAGTTCAATAAAATTTTGAATGTGAGTCAACAAAGGCGATGACATGGCCTTTGAAACATGACCCGTCTGGAAACGGTTAATGCAATAAATGAAAAGATAAAAATTAGAATCAGAAGTTGTAACTGAAATTATAAAAATTTTGTATGATTCTTTCACAAAATCTTTCACTTTGAATGGGAACTAAAAGTTTAAAATAATAAGTAGAAGAATTCTAGAATGTGTAATGTAAGAAACACATCTGAAGCCAAGCAGTGCCAAGGAAAGAATGAGACTTTGTTACTTTGTTAATACACAAGATGCTCTTGTGGTCTACCTTGCATGGAGGATGTGTCACCCTCTTATTGACAGTATAGTCCAATGCTCATTGCATCATCGGCTAGCACAGTGCACATGTGTAAGCGTGAGAGTTTCATTCAAGACTTGGTGCATGCACAAAAAAATATTTTTTGCAGTTGCACAAGTTAATATCTATCAGGTTTGTGAAGAAGTGAGTATTATTTCTGAAAGTACTACGTCATATTCAGTGATTCAACTGTCACAAGGATTTAAATACATTACTATAGGAACTATTCAACTATAGGAACATAAATGTCTTTATAATTTGGTAGTAAAAATTAAGAACAAGTTTTTTCAAGTATTTTTAACATATGCTTTACAATATCTGTAAAATTTACAATATGTCATACAAGACAATGAATACATATATAGAGAGTTCTAAAATGTTCTATCCTGATAACTATTTAGTTTGACATACACATACAATCCTAAAGCCTTTTGTTCTGTTAACTTACTTTGACTAAAACTTTCTTTTTGTCCATAGGTTTCACCACTTCCCCAACATATGAGCCTTGTTCTTGCAGCAATTGCAACTCCTCCCGAAGCATTCTCACTATTAAACAAACATGTTAACTTTTAAACATTTAGATAATTTCTAAATATACTTATCAGAACAGTTTAACACTTAAGTAAACCTGTTTATGACATTAAAATATATAAAAATAACACGAAAGATGTGTTACAAAATAGTAGTACACAGCTTATGCAGATACAGATATTATAAAACACATGGTAAAACTAAACAGCAGCAATACTCAGTTCACACAAAACAATTAGAGGATAATTGGAATTTACAACATTTTAATTATGACAAAATAAATCTTTTATTATAAAATACTCTTACTCACCTAGTTCAGGTCATTTTTACATAAATCAACTATTTGAATATTATCATGTGAGCTGAAGTGTAAATTTAATCATTAATTTGGTAGAGAAGGCTTTACATTTCTTAAAATCAAGATATTTCATTTCATAACCAGGAAAAGCATATGCAGCCTGGCACTAATGCTGCATGCTTAAACAAGGTGTTAATAACATCTTGAGGTATCATGAACTGAATGACCGTGTTTCAGAAGAATTTTTAACAGTACATAAAACATCACCCAAAAGCATCCAAACATGCTCAATGAGAGTGAAGTCTAACAAGTATGTAGAACACTCCTCTGAGTCAGTTCCCTCATAATTAAAGAATGTGTCAACCAATTTATAGATTTATAGATTTCTATGTCAAGAAGGCCAAGGATCAACATTTCAAGGTTAGACAAAAGGTCTTAGTTCTGCTGCCCACAGACCACAACAAACTCACCCTGAAATGGAAAGGACCTTTTGAGGTACAAGTAGTACTCAACAGAATGGAGTACAAGGTGAATGTGAATGGGAAGACCAAGATCTACCATGCCAATCTGTTGAAAAAGTATTTGGGAGAGAAGAAGACCTAACAGGTGCAGCTACTGATGTACAAATGGACATGGCAGATGTGGCCATCATGGAAGTAGAATCTGAAGACAGTGACTTAATTACAGAAGCTAAAGACCTACTAAGCCTAAGAGCATGGAGTAGAGATGAGACATACAAGAATGTCGACATGAGTGTCAAACTGACTGATATGAAGAGGGAAGAGAAACAAAATCTACTGTGTCAACATACAGATAGATTAGGAAACACGATTTCAAGCAACACAAGATCAAAATGAAGATGAGGGATACTGTTAAGGAGAGACAGACAAAGGAACTGTGAATATTAGTGTAGACTGTATGAGCAGACTTTGGGGATGAACTAAGGACAGTCTTTAGTATATAGTAAAAAAAAAATCTGTAAATATTTTAACTTGAAGAGGGTTTTATGTCATGATATAAAAGACTGTTTAGTTTAGATATTATTGATTAATTTATTTTTGTGAGTGAATATTTTGTTACTGTTTAGTTTTAGTTATAATACGAGAAAAAAGCAGACAGTTGTAGAAAGTTTTATTAATAATTCACTGATGTTGAGATAATCAAATGTCGCATGCAATACATCGATATTGAGAATATATAAGATCAGCAGACAATTATGTGATGGAGATATAAATAACATGAGAGGTGCGGAAACAACAAACAGATAATAGCAAACACACAATAGCAGAAAAGAGTAAAGTTACAGGCAAGGAAAAGTTCAGCATGAAGTTAACTACTGTAGAAGTGGTAGGCCTAGCATTTAATATGTTAGAGTAAGACTAACAGTAGAAAAGGAGATGAGAAGTATATATTTATATTATTAAGAAGTATAAGTAAAAGCCTTTTTATTTAGACAATATTATAAAATCCTGACAGGAACACTAATCATAAATTAGACTGAAGTTGGAGACAGATACACCAGCATATGGCAACACAGAGGATCATAGGATGTGGTCTCTATAATGTGTGGTTTAATGGTACCATTCAACAGAATGTAGAAGTCAGAATATTTGTGCCATTGCCATATGCATCACATTTCTATAAGAAATTGATTTAAGTGTTTCCACACTGTTCAAAAGTAAGTATATGGCTGGCTAAGTAGCTTTTAAATTTCCCATTCAAACTTTTGATTTTCACTTTTTATTTCCCCCAAAGCAAAATTTGAGTTGTCTTCTTTTTCAGCTTGGTTGGTCATCTGTGAAGAAGGTGATAAACAACATAAATACACACATTTATATTCTCCAAATACGCCTTGCATGATGTAGGTATAAGTCAATTCGCATGCTCAGTCCAATTTCCCCCCCCAAAGGTATGTTAATACTAATTACGTGTCAGTTGTTATTGAAAGTTTGTTTCAAAGTTGACTGTATATTGTACTGATACACATAACTGGATTAATTATTATCAATGGCATCCAGAAGAATGATAATGGTGATTGGGAAAGGTGTCTGCCACTGTCAATGTAATGTTTTCTTGGCATATGGATTATTGTATTTTTGATTTGACTGTCTGTAAAGTGAGATAATCATTAATTACACAAGTATGTACCACAGAGCAGTATCACTTTAAACTGCCTTTACTCGTTAATTTACTGATATAATTTCATTTTAAACCTGCAATCAAATCAGACTTACATAAACATGATGGTATTCTTTATTCTTCATTTGATCAGAATGTCTCTAACAAGTTGATTAAACATAAAACCTTTGGAAAAAATCAAAGTCAAATTCTGTCTAGAAAAGAAGAGATGGTGAAAAATTTGAGAATAAAAATTTGATTCCAAAAAAAAATATGTTTTAATTAACGAAAATAAATTCATCAATAATTAATGCTTGAAATCATATGTATATACACACAGACATGTAATAGAAATATTTAACCCCTAAATAAACAAGATTTCCTTTATCAAATGCTATTTTCATGTTGTGAATGCATTTCATACAGGATTATGAAGTCTCTTTCCCTGTTTTCAAAATTTTCTTCAGGTTAGTACCCAGAGGGAGAAGTGATTTCTCCCTGTTTCGAAAGTCTGGCTTGACTTCTGTGTTATTTTGCTGCACAATAACTCATTTCCAAATTCATTGTTGTTCCACATGTTGTAGGCCACTGGATGTGTTTTATGCATTGCTGTAAGTGGAATGCATCTCTGACAAACAGGCTGTTTTTACTCATTTGTAAATGACATAGTGTTCACTTGTAAGTACAAACATATGATTCATTTTCAGAATAGATACTTCACAACTGCCACATATTAGAATTGACAGAAAGCAATGACACACACATTGTTCAAATCCAAGGATCAGTACCATTAGCTTGGAAGTAGTTTAACATTCTGCTAATGATGCTTTGAGACACTTGTTTCCTATTTGTAACAATCTGCTGTGACTGTTCAGCTACCATTTGCCCAATGGTTTTCCACATGAGTGAAACATCAAAAATGTCTACTTTGGGTTTTAGCTGTTGGTCTAGAATAATTTGAAGCACTATAAATTCTCTGATTCACTTCAAACTGACAAATGAAAAAAAAAAAAAGAATATGTGAGGCTACTATATACAGAATTGGCTGAATAACCAGTTGTTAGCAATTAAAGCATAAGACTGATCAGCAGATGCCTCTTTTGTATAACATAAGTGTTCTATAAAACTGGTTTTCCAATGTCAACACTATAGCATCACAAATTACAATTGTCTGTTCATTCTTTGTACAGCATAGTTAAAATTATGAGTTATGACGTAATACCAAAGAGCAGTACACAGCTTACACAAACATGGTTAGTATCATAAGTAATTAGTTGATGCTAAACAGCAGTACTCAGTTCATACAAATGTAGATAGTATCATGAGTAATGAGAAAATATCAAAAAGCAGTACTCATTTTACACAGATAGATAGTATCATGAGTAATTAGATAATACTAAAACAGTAGTACTTGGTTTATACAAAAAGACAGCATCATGAGTAATGAGGTACTCACTTTTATACAAACAGATAGTATCGAGAGTAACGAGGTACTCCCTTTTATACAATCAGATAGTATCATGAGTAATGAGGTACTCACTTTTATACAAACAGATTGTATCATGAGTAATGAACTGATACTAAATAGTAGCACTTAAATATGGATAGTACCAAGTGCAATGAGGTGATACTGAACAGTTGTACTCAGCTTAAACAAATATACAAAAATGGGTTATTTTAAATCATCTGAATTTTGCAGAGAATTTAAAGGACAAGACCAATTTAAGGCAGGGATGTTTTAAAAATAAATACAAAGGAAGAAACCAAATACAGTAGAGAAGAAAGTAGAACTTGAAAGCATGATAAAGAAGTTATTAGAAGAAACGGTATAAATAAGAAAAGAGAATGCAGAATTGAAACAAGAAGTCAAATAAGTTAAGCAAATACTTTCAATTGAGAGTAAAAAGTAATGACAAGAAAGAACAAAGGAATTAGAAATGAGATAAGAATTCTGAAAGAATAAATCAAGTTTTGTAAAGAGCAAATACAGAAAGAGGATAAGGAAACCTGGGAAATATCAGAAAATCGTTTAAAAAATGACAGAAAAAAAGTAAGTAATTTATACTGAGAGGATTTACAAAAGCATGTAGTGCTGATAATAAAGAAGAAATATGAGCAAAACCTACAGAGAGAATAATGAAATGCTGTGGATAAGGAGTGTACCAGCATAACTTCTGAACAAATATTAGCCATTTATGGCCTTAAAAATGTTAAAAAGTTGTTTTACTTTTGCAGAAAAATGAGTACTGCTCCTGCCACTTTAACAGTAGGTACAGTAATTAATGGGTGCATTTTTGTAGCTTTCTGCAGTTCTGCACAAAATCTGCACAGTTCACACAGTAGAGCTGCAAAAATAAGTGCTCTCTAACTGACAGAAGTTTCTATTGCTGCACTCGTGAATGATCCAATTTTGTTGAAAAAATTAAATAAAAAGTTGTAATGTCATTATTTGTGCTTATTATGACTACATCTGGAGATTTAATTTACCAAATTAATACTGTGCCAAATTTCACCTTTTGAAATGGTAAAATAATTCATAATCAGT